GCATTTGATCCTTGTGAAAAACCTGCTCAATGCGAAGCACGAGTACTAAGTGACCTCGAGTTTGATTACATTTCGGATGATTTCATATCAACTGCTGTTTACCCTTATCACAAAAACAGTTCTAATGTTTACTCTAAACAATGTGAGAAATATGTTTTAAATGAAGCCACATTATTCATAACTTGGGGATATAAAGATCCAACATTATTTCGTGGGGGAGGATAGTGTTGAAAAATCTATGGTTCGAATTCTAGATATTAATGATTTCATTACAAAACCGACATGCTGGTTGTATACAATTCCAGGTGAGTCTGTTCCGATTTCGTTTGTTAATTCCAATACTAAGTTTTTATATTATACAATGTCGGACAGACTCAGGATGAACTTAACAAGAAGACGTACAACCGATTACAAACACTTATACTTCTATTTAAGCTGTGGCGGATGTGATGTTTTAATTAACTAATGACTCTTTTTACTTGTTGAATGCTTGATTTCTAATTCTAAATACAATACATACGTTTGTGCCTGTGTCTTCTTAATTGAATTGCGTTAATCCTAAAATTCCCAGTTCATACAACAATTAGTATACCATAGATACTCGTATTAAATTACATCAAAACATAAACTCTGTGCTAAATTTAAACGGTTCTAATTCAGAAAATAAGACAATTTATATCAAAAATACAAAATATCTTAAACGGTGCAGCCTGTGCTATACTGTTATAAGTTAATCTAACACAAAGAAGTATGCTAAGAATCAATAGAACTATTCCCAATAAGATGGGATCAGATATCTATCTGCAGGGAAACGAGTAATATTTCCAGGCAGATAGTCAAAGGTTAATGGTCACACACTGAACCACGCCGTGGCCTTGAGCTTATTCAAACACGACCTTAGTGTGGGGTGTGTTTAACGTGTTAGTTCCGCTCTTCACAAGGCCCTAAAGCAAGAGATCCGTGAGGTGTGACATTTTTAAGGCCAACCATTTCTAACTCAGTGTAGATAATTGGTAATACATGTATATATTTTGTTATATTCTAATGAACAGAAACCATTCTTTCTGAAGTTTTGTCACTAAATGTAAGCCACATCTTCCGAACAAATAAATAACCGAATAAAAATCAACATAGACCTAAACAGTGCAATGGTAACAATGCAGAATATTCTCGACAAAGTCAAAATCAAAATAGGTTCGAGTGTGTCAATGTCATATTATTCTTGGTCAAGGCGAACTTGAATGACCCATCACTGTATTGATTTGTGAGTACGGTGAGTATCATTAATGTATGCATTTGTAATGTGAAGTGGTGAGGTCGAAATTAGCTTTGTGTGTAAATTGTGTGGAAAAATGCTAAGTGTGGTTATTTGGATGAACAATCCATGGCCTTCATTCCTATTGAAAGAAAAAGTTATTTAAAATTATGTTAAACGTCCCGACTAGTCTTCTCGCTTTATAGTTGGAGAAAACTTTCTGGGTTTAAGTGTTATTTATAATATCATAAGGGTGTCACGCGTATTTGGAGTTTGACAACGCCTTTACCATCGAAGTATACCAACTTAAATCAGAAGTGAAGGAGTTCGTATATTTGTTTGAAAGGGTATCGATATATCGTGAGGCATTTGAATCAAGTTGGCTAACGGTTGGCCAAGCGCAGCACGGCATACCCACCAGTGATCTGGTGTGGATGCATGACCGAACGCCTTCAGCTAGGGTGTGCCCAGTAAAACTAATGAAATGAGCATCAAATATCGAAGATTTAAAGAACTTTTCATTTCGCGGATTTATTTACCGCTACAATCACTTTGGTGTTTCTTGATAAAAGGGTAATGACTCACATTTATCACGAGAACACGATTGGTTTATTGAAGACAATTATTATTATAAACAAATGAACCAGTGTTTGGTTTAATGTGCTTTTGTTTGACTGTGCTAATGACAGCTATATTGTGCCTCCATTCTTATTCACACACTTTGATTGTAACTTCGCGCGAATTCGGTTACGTTCTGTATCCAAGCTTCTATCCTGGCACGATCTCGGAATCCTTTCGATGCCACGTGATCGCCAGCGAATACATCTCGATTTGGTTCATTAATTGCCTTCTGATATTTGGCTTCTCGGGGATTTTATGGAGTCATTTGGCACGAGCTTCTTGGTAGCGGTGTTCATAGTCAATCTCCATTCGACACCACGCTACAAGAGCATGTACTGCTATTGCTGGTTTAACTTGAGTCTCTTCAGAAGAGAGGCCAAAATTATTACTTCAGAAGACAAGATAAAAGAAACAGATATCCAATGATGAAATAATCCACACACGTCTCCCAATTCTCCGATTCATTTTTTCTAACTTATGAATGTTTCGCTATTCTAACGAGTCTGTCCATCACACGCGAATCCGGTGGTCTAAGCGCAGACTAGTTGTTTATCACTAGATAACTATGATGAGAAAAGCTACATTGATAAGTTATTTGGTTATCTATACACCTCACACCTGCTATTAGGCACTTATCTTATTTACCCTTCACCCTTTCATCCTTCTGTGAAGGACTGAAACATTTCTGCAATCCGCCACACATAATATTTAGTTCCTATGGTTCATCTGTACTTTCTTCAAAGTTAGCTGAGTTATATGGTCAGTAGTTGGTTGGAATTATACCTTGAATTAATTTAACTCGTTATTGTTGACCATTCATCGTTGTTACCTTTTCTTGGAACAGATATCCATTCGACAAGGTCACTGATTGTACAAAGTGCCATTTCTGGGCAGTATGATGATACAAACGTGTTTATTAGGTTGTGACGTGTACATGACTACTGTCATAACACCACGAGGTTTCATCTATATGATGACTCGACATAGGCAGTATTTTATCCGCGAACTCATGTAATAAATTACTTACTATACTTGTAAATTCAGTGTGTACCTGCTGTCAGATGTGTATTGTTATTGTATCTCAGCACCTAACAACTTCTGAGGCCAGTTGTGATTGGTATTGCGACTACTGAATAAGTTTCAGAATGTAACATTGAGCATTCGTCATATATCTAAGTACATTTTCCTACTGGTGTTCCTTTCATATCAAGGATTCAAACACCTGCTTCGATTTACTCGGAATTTGTCATTAAGCCTAACTGGAATAATTTTTAAAATCAAGAGACGTTTGCTTGCTTTATAGAGAAGTGATGCAAATCCATTACATGACGAGTTTCTTTAAAAATCCATTTTAAAAGCACATGTATGTTCTGAATGTACGTACCTATTCTTACTATTCCGGATGTTAATTCACTTATTTAATCGGAATCATGTAATTTACTAGATTTTTAATTCTCCGATAGCGTGTGTCTTCTCTCCCTCTAAATACAAGTTGCTGCTTTAGGACTGGCCTGAATGAACACCTGAACTAAGAATAGGGAGTGAAGTAGTCGAACGCGTCAACAACTTCACTTATCTTGGAAGTCTGGTCAGCCTTTATGAGTTGGTGTTTGGCGAAATCTCTGCACGGATTCAGAAAGCTCGTTTGACTTTTGCCAACTTACATCACCTATAGCGAAGGTGAGATATCTATCTATCAATTAAGAGACGAGTATACTGCACAGGAGTTCGTCCTGTTCTACTTTACGACTGCGAAACGTGGCTATCAAGAGTAGAGGATACTCGTAAGCTACTAATATTTGACCACAGATGCGTTAGAAATATTGCTCGCATCTGCCGGGAACACTGAGTAAGTGGTAGTGAGGTTAGACGCAGGGTATTAGGGAATGATGGTAAATCAGTTGATGAGGTTGTGAATTTTCGCCGACTGAGATGATTGGGCCACGTGTTGCGTATGCCTGAACACCGATTACCACGACGTGCAATGCTAACCGGCGTTGGGGATGGTTGGAAGAAAGTTAGGGGTTGCCAAACAAAAACGTGGCATCAGTGCTTGAAGTCACTAACTTCTAGTCTGAGCCATGTTGGTAGATGCAGACTACTTGGTTGGGGTGGGCATGACTATCGTAACCAATGGTTGGAGACTCTTGGTGACATGACTCAGAATCGATCACAATGGCGTAGGTGTATACACTTTTTGTCTTCCTTTAAACCCTAAGATGAAAATACCTTTATATCTCTTCCTAGGAACTAATTCTTTCTCCCTGTATCATATGCTTATATGAAATCTCTTATTTATTACCATTGAAATAACTGCTTCTATGAATTTTGTGTTCATCTTGTTGTGTTAATGAAGTGCGGCAACTTGAATCAATGCATATATGTGCCTGGTCCTACGTTGTAGCTGACTGACTGATAACGTGTCACCCCTGACGTTTCTGTTCTTTTAAAAGTACTGAATCTGAATGTTGTCATTAAATTTCACACTCCCATTAAATAGTATAATGAACAAAAGAATAGTCTTACTTTTACTTCTGTGACGGCTACGATTATAAGCTGAGGAATAGAAGGCAATTACGGTTGTAAAATTCTAGGTGTAAGTGTCGTATTATATTACAGCAATTTCAAATGCTTTTCGGGGAGCGGGTTGAGTTTCCAAGGTCAGACGAGTGATTGGTTGGAGACAATTACCGATGCGCGACTGACGAGAAACAGGTTCATCACTAAAGACGAAACCCCTCTGATGCTTCAACTAACCTAGAGTCGGCGGGAGAAAGCGTTTGTCATTCCCGAGATAAATTGGGGATCCACAGACATGCGAAAATCTTGGCCATTAATGTGGCCACACAAGTGCTTGCATATTCCGCTACTTGTTGTTAAGTATTAAAACCAATCCCATTTCTCGTTCAAAATAGTGGTTCAACGTAAACCACGTTTGCCCAGACGAAGAGCGATCGATAAATGTGCATAATAATATGATCGAATCATATTAGTTGTATCGAATTTACCAAACTCTGACGAAATTAAGGTGTTCCCACAAGACGGTATTTACTGATAACGGAAAGAACGGATGTGTAAGTTTTGACAAATAAGACAAGGGACCTTTAGTAAGATTTCGTTTGAAGTCTGAATACATACACTTTTAGTTCAAACAGTCACAAGTATCTCAAACTAGGTCGGTAGAGATCACTTTTTACAACTGCACAACCTGGTTTTAAGCTGGTCTATAATGCTGACATAGCTAATTGGTTATACCAGTAAGAAATAATAATTGATTTAAAACAGATCTTAAGGGAAATTGAAATCTTGAGTTAGACTTTTATATATACAATTGTGTGCAAAAAGTAAATAAATCATAAAAAAATATAAACACATCATTATTAAATGACAACATATTTTTGGAGTATATGACGAGCCATTGATGGATTCCCATTAGTTCGATATAAAAGAGCTAAATTGAAAGCAGCTTCTTTATGCAGATTAGTAAGCTAATAAAATAGACCAAAAGTAAAAGAATAATAAATACAGTCAGAAGATACGTATGACAAAAGTTTCTAAACTAAAACAGTATTCAAATATAGGTTAAGTTAATCAACCTCCGCAATAATAACAACAGTGTATATTCAGAGAAAAGAAAGCAGGACTTACAGACTTCTCTTCAGGATTGTTTCCAATAGGCTCCATATCAAGGACTTTTTCATAATAGTGAATAGCCATATGAGTGATTACTGAATTTGAAAAAAGTGCCTATTTAGTACAGTACCGATGATAGTTAACTATATGCTCAATTAAGAAAATGTCAACTATAAAATATACTACAGGAAGACGAGATAGGAAAACTTATATCGTTTTTATAAACTAAGCTCATGTCCATTCGTTAATAAATCTTAAGTTTAACAAGAAATAATGAATCTGAAAGTTGTTTTCTCGTGAATTTCCCCTTCAAATGTTTATAAACGATGTGGTCTGATTAACATAATAATATGCTTGTCAATGATAGACAAAGAAGAGATATAAAAATAAATTTCTATTTAGCAAACCATGTAAGATAAACACTATAACCTGCTTCAATTTCTGGCTCCTTGATGTGCACAAATAACAAAAATAACTGTTTGGAAGAACTTTGTTTAGTAGATACAAATATCTATTTTACATTTAGTTTTGAACTAAACAAAACAGAGATTGAAATAACTCAAGCCGAAACACACAAACTATATTAAGCATGTATTAGTAAAATGTACCTTCGAACAACCGCATTTTAAAATGTTTCGTTAGAGAACAGATAATGATGATGGAGACGCTCCTGCTTAAACCTTTGTCAGAAACAGAAGTATACGACCAAAAAACTATTAAAAGTGTACTAATTAAAAACTTGTATTAATTACTTACTTACGCCTGTTACTCCCAATGGAGCATAGGCCGCCGACCAGCATTCTCCAACCCACTTTGTCCTGGGCGTCCTTTTCTAATTCCATCCAATTCTTGTTCATCTTTTTCATGTCTATTTCCATTTCTCGGCGTAATGTGTTCTTTAGTCTTCCTCTCCTCTTTTAGCCTTGAGGAATTCATGGGAGGGCTTGCCTTGTGACGCAGTTGGGTGCTTTCCTCAATGTGTGTCCTATCCACTGCCACCGCTTCTTCTTGATTTCTTCCGCCGCTGGGTTCTGGTTTATTCTCTCCCATAGTAGGTTGTTGCTGATAGTGTCTGGCCAACGGATCCGAAGTATTTTACGTAGAAAACTGTTAATAAACACCTGTATCTTCTGGATGATGGCTTTTGTGGTTCTCCAAGTTTCCGCCCCATACAGTAGAACTGTATTGACATTTGTATTGAAAATCCTGACTTTGGTGTTGGTTGCCAATTGTTTTGAGTTCCAGATGTTCTTTAGTGGTAAATATCCTGCTCTTGCTCTGCCGATCCTCGCCTTCACATCTGCATCAGATCCACCCTGTTCATCAATGATGCTGCCCAAATATGTGAAGGTTTTTACATCTCCCAAATCTTCTACATCAAGTGATTCGATTATTGCATGTTGTTGTATCAGAGAATCTTGCTTTTCCCTTTGTGTATATTGAGACCTACTGCTGCTGAGGTTGCTGCTACACTGTTCGTCTTCTCCTGTATTTGTTGTTGCGTTTGGGATAGAAGGGCCAGATCATCTGCGAAGTCCAGATCGTCCAACTGCATCCTAGATGTTCATTGTATCCCGTGCTTCCCTTCAGATGTTGACGTCTTCATGATCCAGTCGATCACGAGGAGAAAGAGAAAGGGTGAGAGTAACCAACCTTGCCTAACACCGGCCTTCACTTCGAACGACTTCCATGTACGTAAATAAATGGTCGCTCTGGTTGTCAGAAGGGGCATCGGCCTCGTAAATTCCGAAGGAATTCGACTTTCATCATGAGGCGTAATAGTTCTTCTAAATGAAGACCTTCTGACTCCCAGGGCAGAGGTTAAAAGGTTTGAATAATTCTTTCTGGTTAGCGTTTTTTTAGCGAGTTAGTTTTCTACGGGATGGGGATGCTAACCCCATGCCCAACCCTCCTCCTTTATCCGGGCTTGGGACCGGCAGTAGCCCCCGGAGGGACTCCATGATAATTTCAGTCGGAAAAGCATGAGTCACTTTAAACTTGAATTACATTTCGCTATTTTTACTATTGGGTGAATAAAATTGTTAGAACTATGAACCGTTGTCCTAGTCATACTGTACCCAGTCATAAAATCAAATAATCTAATTTGTATGTGACCTAACAATAGAACTATATTCTATAGCTGTATAGGCGATTAAGGAATTTTGAATTAAGAAATTATAAATGGCCGCAAGAATACCAACAACTATGTGAAATAAAAATAAATAGGAGATATAACTTAAAATATGATTTTGTGGTGAAAGCATACATTTAAAAAATGCTCAATTTCTTGGTTACTTATGGTGAAACTATCACAAAAATAATGAGACAACTGATAAAGGGTGAAAATGGTATTCATGCAGCCGAATGAAAAAAGCTCACTAATTTAATCTTAAAACGTTTATGTGTCCAAGTAAAGGACATTACAACCACTGAGCAAGAGCCTCAATTCCTCCTAATAAAAAAAGCTACAAAAGAGCATTCTATAATCCATCAGATTACCAGCAGTCAGTTAACTGAGAAAACGAAGGATATCACCACGGGGAATGATACCATCGTTTGATGAAGATATGTATTCAAGTCAGGAATTTTGAAAATAGAATGCCAGTAAACTTACAAAGTTGATGACATGCACGTGCTATATTGTAGTAAACCTCCTGGCAATCACCACGTAAACGTTTATATTCCCCAAGAAAACCAACAGCCTTAAATAAATAAATAAGGTATAATAATATCACAAAAATGGAATATTTAGAAAAATATCAAACTATGTATATTAGGGGTCGTTACTACAAGATGATAAGTTTAAAGATATTCAAAAAGGGAAGTCAAATGCCATTGTAAATCCATAAAACGTTTGAGTGAGCAGGAGAACATTTTTTTTATGTCACTGATGCATGACGTAAAATATCACTTCATATAAATCTTAATTTCCTCTAAAGGGGAGACCTTCATGATCACAACTGAATTATCATGGCCATCAGAAGCAATTTACGCAAACTGCTCTCTAAAAAATGTTACATCCAGATAACAAAACTATTTTATTCACCACTAGCGTTATTCCATTGTAACTGGATATGTAAGTGAAATAATTTTCGAAAAGAGTACTGATGTAATCCTCAAGTTTCCTTTAGATTACACTAACACGGCAACCGACCACGTAATGTATTATGTTTTTAAGAGTAGAAAAGAAACTAACCTGTAAAATAGCAAGATGACGTGAACCAATGTGTTTTTGCATGGACATACTTAAAAAGCCAACAGCGAGTAATAAAGTAAGAAGTGCATCGTCCGGAAATTTTTCTCTCATATTGATTAGTCGGGCTTTCAGTTAAAAATTAGGAAAATAGTACAGTATGAAATGAGATTCGATGGTCATAACACATATCAGTCAATACAAAGTTAACGTAGGATTAACAGTAAGTAATGTATCATCAAAAGAGAAGACCAATTATGAAGCGAAAACTACCTGCGTAATTCAGTAGCACAGAGATTCAAAATCCATTCACTGGGCCACATGATAAAAATGAATACACAGGAATTAGCATGACAATTATATACGCACTATATACAAGATGTACCCTAAAGTTTGTTATCCTTATGCGAATATACAAAATTTATCCTTGTGAAATTACACCAAAACTAAGTAGTTCATGAATTGGGATTCCATCGCATCTAAGCAGCGTGGTTAGCAAATAAGTTATGTGTGGTTTGTAAACAGCGAATAAAGCTTTACACAATTACTGATTTGAACACTATTTAAAAAAAATGAAAAACGGATTACTTTGATATACACCCAATATTACAGAATATTTAGTCAAGAAAAAAAACAGCTTATGAGATTATTGTCATCAATGATCACTTGATCACGATATATTTGATCATTACAAATAATCCTTTCAAACTAGCAAATCTAGCCAGAGAGACATAGATCGAATAATGGAATCAAAGTAAGTAGAAGTAGTTACGACAATAAATAATACGTTGTTCTTTTATTAAAGCTGTGAATCTTCATCAGATGAATCGACTTGAATATGTACTAGTTTAACCACCTCCAACCTCGGCCAAGAATGATGTGATGTGTGAAAGCAGCTAAACTAAGAAACAGTATTAGTTCATGTAGTCACTGACTGTTGGTCTGAGCTGTGTGAGGTTTAGACTAACTGGTCGAGTTACAAGCAATAATCGTGATGAATGACTGCAGATATTTCAATGGAGCTAGAGTTTGAATATCCGTTAAGGATAATGAATACTACATCTGGAAAGATATCAATTTTAAAATTAACATATTGGTTTAGAATAAACTTTATTCACTGATTAAGAATATGTTTTCGCTTGTATCGAAGTATTCAGTATGAAGTTACTTCGTTTATTTTATCTTAGTTGTGTTCAGAAGTTCACTGTGATTTTGTGCAGTAACAAAAACTCTGTTTGATAAACTTAGTGATTAAGAATCATTGAGTAATCGGGATGTAGTTAAATTAACTATTATTTTGACTCGTTTAGAACTAAACTTGCAAATTTAATCTCGCTATATAGATTTGATGTGGCAACCTGGATTAATGCACATTTGTGTCAGGCTCTACGTTAATTATGACTGAATTATTAGTCACAGAATTAAGTTCAAAACGACGAAGCACTGGGCAACCTTTCTCAATTTTGTATCTAAATGCATCTACAATAACATACTAAATCAATAAGTCATGAATAATGGTACGATATTTCGCACTATACTGCTTCGCACAGATAACTTACAACCACTCATTTTTCCGATTTTCGACTACAAAAAGCGAGCCAAAGATAGTTTACTTAAACAGACTATTCGTTCTAATTAAGATCACGAGCCGATCAATGTTAGACCACCACTAAAAACCTGGAAGCACTGAACGGCCGTTTCGTCCTAGTATGGGACTCCAGAGAAGTACCCATACACGATACTACACGCGGGATTCGAACCCACAACTTTCGGTCTCGTGCGATGAGCTCAATCAAAGCACAACAATCTCCACAACCCTATACTGATAAAACCATCTGTTGTTGAATCAAGAGAAGACTAATGACCATCGATTCTTTAATGAAGATAACCAGTAAAGAAATAACGCCAGAAAATCAACAAACAAAACAAAAAAATAACAACCACAGCAAAAATGAAAGTCGATCACGTAATGGAAATAAGTAGAATAAGAAGACTTGCCAATAGCATAACGATATGAACCTCGAACCAAAGTGTCACTACTAGCAATAGTACCGATAGCCAAATTCAAACTATCCTGAAAAGCATAGAACAATAAATATATTTTACGCAAAAAATTCAAACCGCACTCAAGAGAATTGGTACGCTATTTATGATAGGCTCAACGGTAATCGCTTACCTAAAACAAAACGATAACGAGAGTAATATTGGTGGTAGTAGTGTATCTTGTCTCACGCATAAATATTATTCAGTTTATGGTGTAATCATCCAGTACTTACTCTTAATCAAATTATATGAATCAAAGTGTTGGGATACAGTCATAAAATAGATAAAAGAACATTAAAATGCAAAGAAAATAACTTTGAAATCTTGTCGACATTTAGAAGTAAGTCCTGTGTGATGAGCCTACTTTAATGTGAATACGCTTGTGCGCCTTAGAGATGCAAGCCAACGCTAATCTAAAATATAACGAAACTGTGAAACCGTTAGTAAATTTTGATAATGAACTTTCCAGTCTATAATTTCATATAATTAATATTGAGACATAACACTAAGATTTGTTTGTATTTCTAATAAAATATATAAAATAAATTATTCCGTTAATTGCATTTCGATAAAATGATAAACAATCAAGGTATCATTTATTGTGCAAGTCCAGTATGATTAATGCATAACAAGTCAGTTGAACACTAGATTCATTTATAAAAAACCTACTTTAGTAACTAAACGATCCAAAAATCTACAGTGTTTAAAATCACGTGAAAGAGTGATTGCCAGATTCATCACATTCCAATACTGGTTATATTCACTCCACTGGAAAAGAATTAAATTTATGTAAAACTCGTGAAAAATATCACTGATTTCAGAATTCATTTAAAGTTTGACGATAAAATAAATACAAACATGTAAACAAATGGAGTTCGCCAAAATTATAATCATAATAAGTTACTGAATCATACTTATTTCAACATGTGTGTGTTAAATAGTTATCTATCCCTAGTAATGGAAAAGTCGTAAATTATAGCCTTCATCACATATCAATGGTACTGTTTTGGGGATGTTAGATACCCAGAACTCATTTGGTAAATGCCTTAATTTTGTAATTTTATTTTAGAAATTTAAATTTCCTTGTTTTCGCGTCAAAGTGCTCTTTTCACCTTCATGTCGTAAATCCCACTTGAGAGAATTTTTAACGCTATTGGTCTGTTGTGTATTTTTAGTATGCTATTTTTGCTACGCTTCCCTAAGGACAGTTTTATGCTGTATATATACGTTCGATTTGTGTCTGTTACTATTCACTCGTGCTTCTGGCTTACAGAATATACTTTCCCGTTCCAAGCTTGGACTTCTTCCTCTAGTTAGTGGGGCTGGGACTTATCAAATAGCTAGCTTATTGGTCCACGGTCACAAGTCTTTGTTTCGTTCGCATACTAAGTGAACTTGTAATAGCTTCAAACCTAGTATACTGTAAGCTTAAAATGTTGGGAGTCTTTGTACAATAGTTGTTAAAAGGAAATAAGTATACTTCTGTTACTGTTATTTTCCGATAAGCATAATAAATGGCAACTTTTGTGATCCATTTATGGATACTATACGTACATTTTTATTGTATAATTGTTGAATAACTAAATTATACATATTTATGTCCTTCGTATTATGAGCTTTATTTTGACCTATGAACTAATGTTATACGATTTACCATTTTTGAATTATACCCTGTCTATTATTCACTACCTCCCACGTTCACAGTCACATTTAGCCAAGTCTTGTACAAATGTTGTTTCCTATTTTATGGTACGATGTCGTCTGTCTGGTTGGTATGTAAACCCAATATGCTTGAAATAGATTATTCATATTGCAGAGGCTGAGATTGGTGTTCTGGACTTAACTGGCTGGGTTAGGCATGAAGCAGGACCATTAGGCACTCTAGACTGCTCGTACGTGTTTCATGCGTCACTGGTTCGATCGATAATTCACTGCTCGCTAATTGGCGATACCGTTACGTTATACATTAGCAAGGCACTCAGGCCACAAGTTATAACAGTTACACAGCAAAATACTGTGAATAAAACATTCGAGTGAGTAAATGAACTACGTTTTGTTTATCATCAGTTTGAAAAATACATGTATCAAGTTATTTTAAGCAGAGATGGATGATGGGTAGCAATGAAGCCCAGGACATATCTTTCGTCCTAACCGGGACTCGACACCTGGATATACTTGCATCTCAGATCTGCTGATACCAACTAAAATGTTGATATTTTGATAGTGGTTTGCTTCATTCAGTGTTATCATTAATTATTATAACCAATAAAAGTTCGCTAGGAAAAAAGAAAGTCATTTACTAAAGTTAACTACAGTTTATATCCCTTTTAATATGTAAAGTTTTCAAATGATTACAGCGTTTCACTATACACATTTCATTTATATTCTACTTCGATTCGTTGGATAGGACTGTTCTCTGGGAGTCTATGGGAGAAGGGTTCATCTGAGTTTATTAAATTCTTGAAAACTCTATACACAAGCATCTGTCTTTATTGTTTCATTCAAGCAATGGGCTTATACAGGGTTGCCCAATCTTACCATCCCTCTTCAACTTCGCCACTGATGACATTCTGGAAACAGCTCTGATGGATGTAGGTAATGGTGGTGTGGATCTGTTGCATGGAGACGGAATTTTCGACCCTGAGTATGAGAATGATATTGTCTTACTGTGTGGTGATCCCCAAACCATGAAATCCGTACATAGTTAGTTGTCAATCATTTCCAGTAGGTATGGTAAGTTCTTTGCACCCTCCAAGTGAAGAGTACTTCTACAAGACTGTTAAGATCCTGAAGGCGCCCTGGGTAGCAAGCAGATAAATGCAGTTGAAAAGTTCGTGTACCTGAATAAATGACTAAGTGCTGGTGCAGGCGTATAGTGGAAACCAAAGCGGCATATGCCAATTTGGGCCATCTTTGGCGCATTAGTGATGTTAGTCCGGATGTAAAAGGTCAATGAGAGCAATTTTGTTCTATGCTTGTGAAACTTAACCTCTTCAATCTGAGGATATTAGACGACTTTCTGTGTTTGGGGTCCTGTAGATGGTGCAACACAATGGCCTGAGAGACTAACAGAAACAGCTCGGGATACAAGCCAGTGGCGATCTTGGTGTAACTTCTACTTTCTTTATGGAAGTGAAAGTAACCTTTTTAACGAAAAGAATTCTTTTTGGTTGTATCTTTCCTGACTGAACTGCTTCAACCATTATTATCATTATTATTACCTCACTACCATACAGTAGTTTCTATTCATTTTTGTTCTTTTTTATTATATCCACCTTCCTTCCTCCATCTCTTAGCAACCTCATCTTTATTGTGGGGTGCACATATATTTTGGTTCCCACTTGTTCCAATGTTTATGTGTTTAAACAAATAAATAATAGCTGGCAAGGCTTAAAAGCTTATTGCTTTCCCATACGGCATTGAAATTATAACACATTACCCCCTTAAAGACTAGGATTTGATGATGACTGAATTTCGAAAAGCCTGAATTGTAGAAGCGTTGGAAACGAGAGCATGAACGTTATCAGCTGGTCTCTAATGACATTTAGATGTTATTTTTCCTATAAAATATTGTACTTAATGGCTACTGCTAATAACAACAGCTTGGAAACGATTAGCGATTTAGTCTCGTCGATCAAATGGTTGAGCAACAGGTCAGTAACGTTTAGATCGCTGGTTATGATTTTCTGAAGCATTAATTTACATCATTTCAGATAGTTTGATTATTGATTTCCTAAATCGTACATTCCTTATGTTTGATGCAGATTATCCTCACTGGGAATACTTCCTACCATCGCTGATGAATATGTTCTAAACAGGGAAATACTGCAAAAACATACGTTTTAGACGATTACATAGCGTGATATATATTATAACTGACCTGCTTTTGAATTTTTCGTAATTCCAAAAATGCTGGTGTGCCATGACGTGCAATAAGTGAAGAACTAATTAAAAGATGACTTGCAGCTAACCGACGTAGATCATTGCCTTGAACATGAGGTAATAAAGAAGCCCATGCAGTAGCTGTCTCCAACTGGGGCAATGATTTTGGCAAACGAGCACGTAACACATCCACAACACGCAAAAATAATCCCCAAATATCTGAGCTGCTAACACCATTTGTTTCTGTAGTTGAACGTTCAGCGTCTATCTGGTTAGATAATGTATCAGTTAGTGCTGGAGCAACAGAAGCTAGTCGGTCAATCACTAATTTTCGATGCTGTTCACTATCAAGAGTTAAGGCAACTTTAGAAAAAAGGTAACGAAAGATAAACAAAACAAATTATTCACCACTAACATTATCCTTATTAGATTTCATATAGATTTATATAAACTCAATTTTAGATGATCTGAGAGCAATTATTCTCTCTGTGGTCCATAAACAGTGTGAATGTTTCGATGAAAATAGATAAAACGGTTTACTTATTATTTATTAAGACAGTGTTGTTGCACAGACAAATGAAGAAAAATCAAAATATGTGGTTGTTTTTTGTTGTTACTTATACACAGAATATATCTTAAGTTGTAGATAAAACTCTTGGACAAGATAATGGTGGAATAAGTACAACACGAAGTATCCAGGTAACAAAATGTACCGGCATCTCATAAGTAAACCTTACACAGCGCAGTATAACAATATCAATTAAAAATCCAATGTAAATGAAATGAAACAAAATAAAATGAACTGTTCAGTCAACTGTTTCCAATGTAATCATGCTACAGAACATCAAAGACAAAGTTTAATTGTACTAGAAAGAAATACTCTAATTCCAGGAGCATAGAGAAACGAATAATAAATCTACAGTAGATAGCATAATACAATAATTTAGATCATTTTACTTCTCAATGTGAATAATTGTAGCAGCAAATTCTAATTCAAACTATAACTAATTACTATTGTCTAAAAGATGAAAATTAAACACTGATAAATATTACGCATCTGCTTATGTACAAAGTAAATACGGTCAGGCTGAAAGATTTGATAAATCTTACTAGAATGGTTGTAGCTGGATTCCTAGACCCTTACTAGATTTGCAGACTAGTTCTAACCACTAACTCAAGCAACAAAAAAAGGACGTATAAGTACATCAAATTGTTTTCATTTGTAGGCTTCGAGACGATGTTGTTATAGTATCAGTAGTTGACCAATCAAAATTTGACACATAATCTTTTATTTTTCCAAGCATTTCTGAGAAGCTTCTATTTAGTGCCGATTAGATGAAACGTTTTTAAATTTCTCGAGCATATAGAGACTCGACCCAGGAACATTTTCCGGCTCTCAACAAAATTATATAAGTAATATATGTGAACGTATTATTCGAAAAAGTATAAATCCTCCTATTTTGCTTTAATATTCAGTAGACTATCAAGGTTAAATCATTCAGTTGTGGATTTAAATTCACTTGAACAGGTAATTAGTCCTTCGGTTACAGTGTGCAAATCCGTTTACACTAATGAAGGGTACGAAACTATATTCAGTAAAAATGTCTACAATTACCCATAGCCTGCACTTCAATTTGTCGTATTTATTAATCCCGTTCTCATTATTTCTTGAATGATAAAACATAAGAAAATAATTACTTATCATGACAAACTGTACATTTCAATCTCATCGCGATATATAACATAGAGAAAACAGGATATTTTTAAAGCTGGATCAATAATAAAAGTGAAAAGAGGAATCTGTTAAATTTTGTAATACATCTGATTTTAACAAATGACATTTACAAGTAAAAATATGGGAAATAGGCTATTGATTCAATAAAAAATTTACTTACGTTGAGTAAATCTAGGTCCGCAAACACGTGTCACATCACTAAACAGCAAAGCCCAAGCTTCTTCTAAAAATGAATCTACACTTTCTGGTGTATCAAGCATTCGACAACGTTCGTAGGCCAATCTGTATGCCACATGATCACGGGAGACAAGGTTAGCAGATGCATCGAGCCAGTCACTATCTAGACAAACTTTCTCAACAGAACATTCATCACTATCGACGTCACCGACAACTGAAGTTTTTTGTAATTCAGAAGAAGCAAATGATCTAACAGTTGATCTGTGACTGGATTTCAATGGAGATTTTTCTCTTTTCTGTACAATTAAATCACACTGTTCGGTCAAAGATATTTCGGGTTTAACACCTTTCTGAACTAAATTTGAGGGATTTAAGAACTAAAATTTCAGAGAAGCAAAAAAGATAAAATTGATATTATAACCAGAAATAATAAACATAAACATATCATTACCACAAATCTCATTTCTTAAAGATTCAGAGATTCGATAGAAACAACGTAAGTGAAAAACTAACATATGCACATTTCAAAAACAAAAAAATAAATGCATTTACGAATAAGTAAAGATATAACTCAATAAAGTTTCAAACCCCATGCGAGTAAATATCGATCCAAGGTCTGGATAAAGGAGGAGAGTAGAAAACAGCCTTGATAAAAACCTTAACCGAGAAAATCATTTAAACTGTGACCTGGTAGTTGAACGATCTTCATTTAGAAGAATCATGACGCCTTATGGTAAAAGCTGAGATCCTTTGGATATCACGAGGCCGATGCCCCTTCTAACAACTAGAGCAACAATTACGTTAGGTACATGATCTTGTGGACGAAGACTAAATTATAAGTAACTTCTAGAACTAATTATGGACTATCATATATATATACTTATTACACAACTGTCGAATAACTAGATTATATGTATTTACATTTCTCTTGTAGGCTTTCGTTTGACCCATTGGCGACTATTATAGATATACTATTCTTAAATTATTTCCAGCATGTTAATTACAGTCTTTCACACTAACATCTACTTTAGGGATTGATCTTCTATAATTGTTATTTACTATTTTACGGCATGATGATATCTGATTTCCTTGTATATAAATTAGGTATGTCTGAAATATATGATTCAGACAGTGAAAGCTGAGATTGTGTTCTCGAGTCAAACGGGAAGGGGTAAGCGAGAAGAACTAATAGTGACTAAGAGTTGCTGAAAATGATTAACGCGTCATTGAGTTGGCACAGAGCCAAGGTCATATAAGTCAGTGTTCTGGTTATCGACCATATCACATGGTAATTAAAAGGGCTTAAACATAACACATGAAATGCCAGGACAATGTCGGAGTCCATGAAGACCAGTCAAATAGCTGCAGAAATGAGGAAATCAAGTCTGTCTCTGCTCAGAATGAGTGAAACCCATTAACTTCGAGGGAGGTATTGTTGTACTCTGATCATGAAGAGTTGCACTGATGCTATCCGAAGAAATACGGAAAGCGCTTACAGGGTAGAAATCTCATGGATCTAGAATCATCAAATCATTCTACAAAACAACGAAGGAGGGGATCACAATGGATGCTATCACCAATAAAAGTGAAGAAGACGATAAAGATCACTTTTATGGGAGGTTGCCAGGAAAAGACATGATTGTACTGATGGAGAACCTCGAAGTCAAGGTCAATATGAACAACACCGAGTATGAACATATCATGGGACAACATGGAATGAGAGAAAGGAACAAGAATAGTGAAAGACTTACAGATCTATGTGCTTTCAACAACATGGTTATGGGAGACACTAACATTAACTTCAATATGTCTGGAGTTGATGACCCGCAAGAAACACCATGATAAAGAATGAAGCCCCATCGAGACCCTGGACAAGAAAACAGCAACTAACAACAGTCGAACAAGAGCAGAGAAGGCCATGGCACAGACTGAGTAGACACATGCAAATAGGAAAGTGAAGAGCAGAATAGATGTGACAGGCTTGATACATGGAAAACTTGGCAAGAACGGTGAAAAAAGATCTAAGATAAGGAAATATGATACAACGAAGAAACTAGCAGGGAAATGTGGTGGACCACAGTGAGCAATCCAGAACAAAGAATGCAAGCCAATCACTGAGTTCCAAGAACAGAGGAACAGATGGGTAGGACATTTCGAAGAAATATGGGGAAACTGTCAGGGGAAATATACTAAACCAGAGAGACCGGTCAAGGACAAAGACGTCAAGCCAATCACTGGGATTTAAGAATAAAGAAGCAAATGAGTGGAGCATTTCGAGGATTAAAAAGGAGGACGTGATGCATATGGAAGGGCACAAATCGGCAAAGCAAAGATAGCACTCCTACAATTGAAGAAAATCTCGGACTCGAAACAATTGTCAACCAACATCAAAGTCAGAACGTAAAGACAGTTTTATTCTACTGAACTTAAACGTGGAGGACTACTACAACCATCCTCAAAAAAGTACAGGTATTTATAAACAGTTTTCTACGCAAGATACTCCACATCCACTGGACAGATACGATCAGCAAAAACCTAATGTGGTAGAGAACAAACTAACTCCCAGGTGGAGAGGGAATTAAGAAAAGACGCTGGAGGTGGGTATGACATACATTGAGGAATTCATCAAACCGCATCACGAGGCTAGCTCTAACTTGGAATCCTGAAGACAAAAGAAAAAGAGGGAATTTAATGTAGACATCAAAAGAATGAATAGCAGTTGGAAACAATTAGGAAGGAGAGCCTAGGACAGAGTTATTCGGCGACCTATGTACCACTAGGGTTAACAGGCGTAATTAAATTAATAACCGTTTAATATACAATTGAAAACATTCATTTACACAATTTATGAATCGTATGAATAAACATTTCTCGAAACTTACTTTCAAAGCCTCCTGATTCCTACCAAGGCGTCTAAGAAGATTTACAAGACCCAGACGTGCGCCAGTATGCCGAGGATCAAGATTTTCTATGACATGGCGATAGGCTTTGATGGCACTTTCTGTTTCACCTGCTTCCAAATAACATTCAGCCAGTAATGTCCAAACTTGTACCAACTGATAGAAATAAATAAAATTAAAAGCAAAGTATGGAATAGTAAATTCCCTAAAATTACCGAAATAATCCGGAAATCTAAGAAACAGATTGATATATGGCTAGAGAACTACAATTACCGTTTTCCACACGTCAAATGATCACTCCGAGTTTGAAAGATAAACTGTCTAGACTAGCCACCTTTTTCTGTATCTATCAATTCAACTGCTCTTGTGGAGCAATTTATATTGGCGGATGTTCTAGGAATTTGTATATTCAGGCTCGTGAGCACCTCCCAGTTTGGTTATGCAAAGGTGTAGTTAAAACGGTTAACAACCCCATTTTAGCCCATTTAATAACTTAATTCCCAACGAACTTAACAGATCTATATCTTCAGACTGCTGACTTATTCATAACACGACATTTTTGTTCACGCATTGTCTTTAATTCTCGTATATTGATTCCCACAGTACAATTTTAAAGAAGAGGCACATTTAACAAAAGGTTGTTTAAATTTATAACAATAAAGACAAATATAATTATGACAAATCTGAAATTAACAAAGCTTTACGAAATTTTAACTAGAATTGGAATCGGATATAACTAGGGAAAACTCATGGTAGACAATAGATGGAAAAGTTAAAACTTCATGCTAAAAATACAACATTAGTAACACAATGCAGCCTACTTTTACAAGAGCCTAAGTACATGTCATGCTTCTTAGATTTGATTTAACGAATTCGAAAATTGGTGTAGGAAGATTAAGAAAAACTGTTTAGATTACTTTGAATTCATTACATAAATAAACTGCATCCTCAAAAACTAGACTACTGAACAAAATGTATATTTGTTAATTAAAATTTTTGAAACCAATTTTCATGTGAGGAAAGGGTAAATTACCCGTTCTAGTTACGTGATTGTGAATTTAACTCATGTGAAGTGAGCTCATCACGCGAGTTTCATCATTGCTCAAGAAAAATGAAATGAAAAAACGCTAAAAACCATACATATTTAAGAATACGGTTGGTCCTAATTAAAGCAGATAATACCTAAATCTACCTCATTATTATAAGCACGGTACTATTTGAACACAGCTTAAAAAAACAGATACCTAAAGATGCCCTACAAAGAATAAATCTAAAAAAACCACCGATATACAGTTGAATTTATCCTGACAAAATCAACTACAAAAATCGTAAAACCGGATACGGTAAACTAGTTAAAGCGATGGCGATGTCAAATTAACGAAGGTGGAAACGATACAATTACCTTACAGGTAACATTTGATTTTTTTAGTTTCAGAATTAGCTGAATCGCTATGGAGTATAAATTTTTCTCTTTGAAAGCGACGACGATATCCAAAAGCCAATTAGAATATTTTGCAATATTTTCACTTGTGTACGTTGATTCAACACGGGACTATATTAATTAAATAAAAAGAACATTTAAAGCTGGGGTGGAACAAACATGAAAATGAGATAATGGACAAGATTTGTAGCTCAAGTGGATGATTTTGGTGGAGTTTTGTTCTCTGAGCTGGATGGTTTGATCGTGGAGCTTTCATCGTTCTTCTGAACGATATCATCAGCACAAACTTCAGATATAAGTGAAGTGTTCGAATTTCTCCATATGTGTTTCAAAGCTTGTTCTGTGCACCTCGATGTTGATTGGTTCTTATTGACCTTAAATTTGTCATTGTTTACTTCCTTGTTTTGGTTGTGTCTCCCATTGTTTTGATTTTTGTTCTTATGTTTGTGCATGATTTTTCCGATTGGTTGACAAATTGGATTGATTTCAATATGCTTGTTGATTGCTGATTGACCTGAATGCCAGGCTTCTAAAAATTCTCTGGTGTTTTTGGAATTTCCTCTGTCCAAGATTTCCACATTTTTTCAGTCGAATGAGTGTCCGGAGTTGTACATGTGTATTGATATAAGTGAGGAGTTATCATGCCTTTTGACTGCTAATTGATGTTAATGTAGGCGCAGGTGAAGGGGGCGTCCGCTTTGTCCCATGTGGTGTTTTTCGCAGTTGGCACAATTTATTTTGTAGATGATGTTTGATTTGTTTTCCTTTGTTATTTTATCTTTTGGTATGCATAGGATGGATTGTAGTGATTTTGTCGGTTTGTGTGCTACACCTATTCCGAAGGTTTTCCGCAGTCTTGTTGCGGTTTCTGATATGCCTTTTATGTATGGTAGGGTGATCCTTTTGTTGATTTCTGTGCTTGACTTAGGTTCTGATGCTGCGTGCGGTTGGTATTTTTTGATAAAGTTGATTGGGTAGCCGTTCTTTTGGAATACATCCTTCAGCTACTTCTCTTCATTTTTTCGTGCTGCCAATGTGTCCTCGCCCTTTTGAACAAAGTGTGTACGCAGAACGGCTACCTATTGATGCGTCCCAGACCCGCTAATTAGAGGGAGAAGTCCAAGCTCGGAATGGGGAATTATATTTTGCAAACAGCCAGAAACGAGCGATAACAACAAACACAATCCAAAACGTATATATACAGTACAAAACCGTCCTTGGGAAGAGTTACCCAATAGCATACTAAAAGACATTGTGTCAAAAAGTAAGCAATTAATTTACTGTGTCAATAATTGATGTTAACATTTCATTACATGACGTCCATAGGTACACCTATCATGTAGCACAAGTAGTGCTAAATATTGAGTTATCACTTGTAACTGTCAGTATTTTCTAAATTAAAATAACCTGTAGTTTAGTAAGATTAACCTATTTAGCATTAAATGATGGTTCGATGGATTTTTAAAGTAGAATTTAGTCGTAACAGAAATTACTTTTATGACATCTTAGTGAATCTTTAAAAACCACAAATAAGAATCACTTTTGTTTAACTTTTACGCCATTGCAATGGCTTGTGGATTTTTTTTATAATGTACATAATCTATTCAAAACGTTTGAGCAGTTGCGTTAAAACAAAGAATATTAGAGAAATACAATGTATCAACTCACCACAACTAATGGGCCAAGTCCCAGATGTGCAAAAATAAGAAACAATTTCAACTGTAATTCAACAGCCATATTATCAGGGAATTCACATCTAGATAAACAAATAAATAGATAAATTGTATACGATAAGAAATAACCAGTGATGAGGCAATTTACCTTTTAAATTTCTCCACAGACGACAACTTTGATGAATGTCTGTCCATATCAAATAAATCCCCAGAATTCAAATACAATTTGACACCACAGAAGGAAGTGAAAAACTATAATTTTCAACAATGAAAAATATTTTCCAATTTATCGTTTAAGAACTCAAAAGTTTATTAAAGTATTTACAGATATAGTAACACAATGTAACTGATTACAGAAAAAAAACAACGTTAATGAGATAAAAAAGATTTTTGTTTATCTATGCGAGTTCACAAAACCCACACTACAATATTATGCAATTAGTTCTCTTAGTAAACTTTTGTAAAGTAACAACAACCAGCATCGTAGGATAGATGAAATGGATTAAGGGAGGGAGAGGATATAATGTAATGGAGTATCAGAAATATATGCAAACTGTTATGATTACTATAGACAGAATGATAAAAATGACAGTAATTAACAAGAAATAATTTTAAAGCAATCACCATAGCGATGATAATAACACTAATAATGACAACAATAGCTGCAGAGAATAGGAGAGTGTTATGTTCAGATGGGAATTATGAATAGTAATATTTGAGAATTATTTATGGACCAATACGATACATATACTTATATGGTATAATTATTAAGTAGATCAACTATGCATATTCATGTTCCTCTTATTAAAAGCTTTATTTTGACGCATAGACTATTTTTATACGATTTACCGTTCCTAAGTTCTGTCCAGTCTATTAATTACTGCCTACCACATCCACAGCCACTTTTGGCTATATCTTGCACACATGTTATTTTCTATTTCATGAAGTGATGTGGTCTGTTTGTTTTGTATATAAACCAAGTATATTTGAAATACGTGATTTAGATCGCAGAGGCTGAGATTGGTGTTCTGAACTTAACTGGCTGGGCTAGGCACGAAGCAGGGCCAATAGGCACTCTAAACTGCTCGTACGTGTTTTATACGTCACTGGTCCGATCGATAATTCACTGCTGTCTAACTGGCGGTATCGTTACCTTATATATTGATAGGGGCACAAGGGCACTAGTTATAACGGAGAGAACTGATTAAATACAAAAGGAGTCAAACATTCTACTGAATAATATTGAAATAGTAAGGCTAGTTGTAATGGTAGTAAATTAGGAATAAAGATCAGGCTAAAAAATGAATTTTATATATTTTGGAGACGAGAACTACTGAATACAAAGTAGGATATCATTCAAATGGTCACCATGAATGTCAGGTGAACCACAGGCTTTTTCAAACACAAACTGGAGTAGAGACGTCAAATGGTGGTTGTTTTTTTAGTAGAGTGATAGTCTACCATTATTTTGCTTGTTTATCACTTAGAAGACAGTAGTACAAGGGTTTACTAAGTAATCAGTGTTTAAAATGTCTTCCTATGGTACTACTAGGTAGTTTGGAGCCATTAAAGGTTAAATTCTTCGGGATGTTCCATTCTAGGTCATACCCTACCTACGTGCTGATGCAGGTACAGGTGGAAAGGTAGATATAACTGGTTGTAATTACCGAAGGTCTATGTTAGTTTATCTGACTAGCCATTTTGTTAAGTATGTGATAACTACGTTAGCAAATGAACAGATAAGTGTAATTCTGAGCCTAAGTCAACGTTAATTCTGAACATTAACATAATCTCCTTTTATTGGGAGTTTGTCAAACAGTAGCTTGTCGCGGCATCTCAGGTGTATAAACAGCTGTTTCATCTAAAAATGAACATTTGCTAGTAAGTGAACACGTCGATAAATACAAACACGCGATTATTTTGAGTATACAAAACAACATAGGGACAATAAAAATAAATCACAAGACTAATCAAAATTGAAGTAATGAACAGAAACAACCGTCACACTCAATGAATAGGTCATTAAAGGTTAAAGAAGATCAGCTAACCAAACAATTGTAGAGTTGACTGATACTAAATAAGAATTTTACGCTTTGCTATGATATGCCTTTTTAAACCAAAGTAGTGCTAAAATTGTAGCATATTCATATCAAAACAAATTATAGAAATCTAACAGAATTCCATCGTATTCGTTAATATAGGCGTATACCCATGATTTACTGAACAATTTTCTAGAACAAACTAACCAGTTCCACATATTCATGAGACGCTCCAGAAAATATGTACTTGATAAAACTCGTAATTGTTTTTGCCTTCAACTTCTTTCGTCAAGACATTTAGCGAAAATCCCAAAAGATATACAATGATAATATAAGCTACTTGTTTACTAACTGGAACATTTGATTAGTATCAATGTGAACCCTGATTATTTAACTTATTCTGTTCTGTCATCTTAGCAAACCAATTTCTTAGGTGAAGTTCAACGCTAAGTTAATTGATATTAAAGAACAGTGGTGCTGTTTCATGCTAACAACTTTGATTGTAGGGTTGAGCAACATAAGCTAGATTTTCTTCAGTTTACGTGAGTACGTAAATGTACGTTGTGGAAGGCCAGATACACAATACTATTGACTACGAAATATCAAAATTCTGTCTCAAAGTCATATCGACACTCTGTAAAATCCATAAGTTAGAAATAGGAATAAGGCTCGATCATAAATATATATAATTTATCAAGACAATGCTAAATTTACCTTCAGAGCTTGATCATAACGTTTCATTTGAAACAAAATCGATAAGGCCGAATTTCGATCTTCATGTAAAAAAGAGAGCGAATTTTATTGAAGTCGATATCGGTTATAGAAAAAAACACGCTTAGCTGCAAAAACTAGAAACATGATTGCTCATACAATAGCATAGGAATTTAGGACAACGTAAGTTAGTAAATTATGATAAACTGTAATGACTTCTAAAAAAAATTATATGACGTTGAACTTCGAGCAGAAGCGCGATTCCATAAAAGTCGAAACTAAACGGATCACTGCTTTAATTAAGGAAATTAATTCTCACTAAGACACTTGGAATAGTTTCATAGACCATAGTACCGAAACAGAAGTTTACTACAGTAAATGCGGTTAAAACAGAAGACATGGACTAGAAAAAACTGACTGTTTTTAATTTCTGTGTCAAGTAATTGTCAGTCCTGGGATTTGAAAAGTCATAGTGAATCCCAAAATCAACTTAAAGGCTCTATTCACAATTAAGGATAATTGTGTTTATTATTGAAGGACTACGGGGAAACTGTCAGGGGAAATATACTAAACCAGAGAGACCGGTCAAGGACAAAGAAGTCAAGCCAATCACTGGGATTCAAGAATAGAGGAACAGATGAGTGGAATACTTCGAGGAACTCTTGAGCAAACCAACTCTATTGAATCCACCAGGTATCGAAACAGCACACAAAGACCTTCCAATAGATATCACTCCACCAACAGTCGAAGAAATCAGGATGGCCACGAGATAAATCAAGAGTACGAAAGCAACAGGACCTGACAACTTACCAGCTGAAGCACTGAAGTTAGACATAGAGGTAACTCCTTGTTCAGAAAGATTTGGGAGGAAGAACAAGTGCCAACAGATTGGAAAGAAAGGAGATCTGAGAAAATGTGAAAACTTCAGAAACATCACACCTCTATCGGTACCAGGAATAATTTTCAACGGTGTTGCTGAACTAGATGAAGGATACAGTAGACGCCCAACTTCCAGAGGTCAACGGACCGTATTACGTAAGGATCGGTTGTGCACAGACCACTGCTGAATAATCAACTGAATGGAACTCGTCACTATACATCAACTTCCTTGATTATGAGAAAGCAGTTGACAGTGTGGATAGGACAACATTATGGAAAATTCTTCGACACTATGGAGTACCTGAAAAAATCGTCAACATCATCGGGAATTCGTACGATGAAGTACACTACAAAGTCGTGCATGGAGGACAGCTGACAGATGCATTCTAAGTGAGGACTGCAGTTAGACAAGGCTGCTTACTCTGTCCCTTTCTATTTCTTCTTGTGGTTGACTGCATTATGGAGACCTCCACATCTGAGGGGAGGCACGGGATAAAATAGACAGCTTGGATGCAACCAGATGATCTGGACTTTGTAGATGACCTAGCTTTTCTATCCTATACACACCAAAAAACACAGGTAAAGACAGCCAGCATAGCAGCAGCCTCTACAGCAGTAGATCCCAACATACGTAAGCAATTAAGCAAGATCCCTTAATATAACACAAGCACCAACCCAATCACACTTGATGGAAGAGGTGGAAACTTATATGTACCTGAGTAGCATCATAGATTGACAAGAAGGACGTGATGCATATGGAAGGGCACAAATCGGCAAAGCAAAGATAGCACTCCTACAATTGAAGAAAATCTCGGACTCGAAACAATTGTCAACCAACATCAAAGTCAGAACGTAAAGACAGTTTTATTCTACTGAACTTAAACGTGGAGGACTACTACAACCATCCTCAAAAAAGTACAGGTATTTATAAACAGTTTTCTACGCAAGATACTCCACATCCACTGGACAGATACGATCAGCAAAAACCTAATGTGGTAGAGAACAAACTAACTCCCAGGTGGAGAGGGAATTAAGAAAAGACGCTGGAGGTGGGTATGACATACATTGAGGAATTCATCAAACCGCATCACGAGGCTAGCTCTAACTTGGAATCCTGAAGACAAAAGAAAAAGAGGGAATTTAATGTAGACATCAAAAGAATGAATAGCAGTTGGAAACAATTAGGAAGGAGAGCCTAGGACAGAGTTATTCGGCGACCTATGTACCACTAGGGTTATCAGGTGTATGTTAGTGCGTGATTAGTGAGACAAAATGGTTTTTAAATAAGGACACGATATAGAGGATTAAAATTTGATACGTACCATTATCGGTTCCATGATCTGGGTATTGTTCAAAAGCATTTTCATACGCCTTTACCGAGTTGTGTGGATCAAGTAGTTTGAAAAATTGCTATGAAAAACATTACATTTTTGAAGAAACCAAATGAAAATGCAGCATTTAATTACGAATAGAATATATTCCTACAAGATTTCTAAGTTGCAACCCAGTTCAAAAACAAAATAAAGGTACTGAGGATACCTTACTTAACTGTACTATCTTCAGGTAAAGTTTTCATGGCGATATTGACAATGTAAATCTCCAGTAATATAATTATTTACCAGTCATGTAACCGAGCTACACCAATTATCTTAAGCCCTCAGTATAAAACATAATTCTCTGTATTATTATATCGTCCATTTTAGTGGGAATATTTTATGTAAGTTTTGAGGGTTACACTATTACGATAGTCGACTTTGTCAAACCACACAATTTTTTGAATATGAATCTAATGTTACTAACTGCAAATATTCTATGAGGCAACATATCAATATACCATATTTACAATAATATATCCCAAATGTAGCAGTGTGATATTAGTAAAGTAATGTCCATTAAAACGTAGTGTGGGTAAATTAATATATGGTCACAATTTAAACAGTAAGTCAGCAATAAGGTAGAACTTTGTGCGTACGTACATCAGTTCAAGTTGCTACACCACATTAGCACAGAGATGCAGTTGTCGATTCGAACGCCATAATGATAGAGGTAGTAACAAAATAAGCAGTAATCAGAAACATTAGAGTTTGAAGATGTTATTCAAGGAGTATAATCCAGTGAAATAAGTTTTGAAAGAGAAAAAAGGACATGAATAATTCAGAAGATTAGAATTTGGGAGAACACAAAGAGTGGATGCATCTGCGCCATTGCAAACGATTTTGAGCCATATTATTCAACGTCTCTAACCATCGGTTTCTATCGTCTTGCGGATCCCAACCAGATAGTCTACACATATCAACATGGCTCAGTCCATTTTTTAGAGACTTCATAGATTTGTGCCATGTTTTGGTCTGGCTGCCCCTAGCTTTCTTCCAACCTCCTCCACCATAAAACATCGCACGTCGAGGCAGTCGGTGGTTGGGCATACGTAACACGTGTCCCAGCCATCTCAACTGATTTGCCATCCTTACCTAGTACCCGTTTCCTAACAACTGTGTTACTTACTCGATGGTCCCAGGATATACGAGCAATGTTTCGAAAATACCTATGATCAAATACTAGAAACCTACTGTTAGCGGAACATAGACTGGATTAAAGCAAGCTCAATGCGCGATTGCTTTGGTGCACGCTGATTAGCTAATTCTTATCCAATCAGCACTAGTCGATAGTTGGAGAATACTCTAGAATCTTCTCATGTAAAAACTATAAATATACTGACGTTTTCTCTATTGTGCTTTCTACTGGCTTCTTACTGGCATCTTACTTCCATCTAACCTTGTTATTTGGAATATAATCTCTTTCCTGTTCAACCGTGTTCTGATTTGGGGACTTGTCAAGTGAATCGGTGTCCAAGAATACTAAGCAATAGGAATAGCTGGGTCTTAACCGTAAGAAAGAGATTATAACAGTGGCGACGGGAAAAAAGGAAAACAAATTCAAGATGCCCATATCAGATGACCAGCTTAACCGAATACTACAACAACAGCAAGCACAACTTGATGCACAAATGCGGTTGTTGGAGACTCTGACTCAACAGCTCAGTATCCACAGCTCGAGTTCACATGCTATTTCAAGTACGTCTTGTGATGCAGTTGCTAGCAGCATCCCAGAATTCATCTATGATCCCGAAAGTGGAAATACTTTTCTCACGTGGTTCAAACGTTGGGAAGATACATTTAGAACAGAATTCTGTAACCAAGAAGATGCGTGGAAGACCTGATTGTTGGTACGTAAGTTGGGAAGCAATGAACATGCACGTTTTGCTGACCATATACTGCCAAAGTTACCTCGAGAGCTCAGTTTCGAGGAGACGGTATTTCAGTTGTCAGAGATATTCGGCGAGTCATCCTCGTTGTTTAGTATTCGATATCGGTGTCTAAATTTGGTGAAACGCGAAGCTGATGAATATGGTGTTCTAGCAGACATCGTCAACAGAGAATGTGAACGTTTCAAGTTACGCTCGTTGACTGATGACCAATTTAAATGTTTAATATTCATCAAAGCTCTTCAGTCACCACAAGATGCTGAGATCAGGACTAGAATTTTAACTCGACTGGATCAAGACCCAAACGTCACACTCAGAACATTGACAGATGAATGTAAGCGTCCACAAAGCATCAGACACGACAACCAGTTGATTGAACAGGTAAATCCTAATTTAACCTGCGGTAGTGTAAATACTATTACTAGGTTAAAAGTTCAGAAGCCAGTAACAACTCGTAACAAACCAAGGACTGCATGCTGGTTATGTGTTGATTGGCATTATGCACGATTCTGTCCATTCAAGAAGCATAAATGTCAGGCATGCAACAAACGTGGACATAAAAAAGGTCATTGTCTACCGAAGCGTACGTCTCAGCCTAAGAAGAAGCATAAACGTCCTCGACTTGTGAAATCAGCCGAGTCTAAATCTCTTTCTCTGGTAGCTGCCTTTCAAACAAACTATGACATTCGGAGAAAGTATGTTACCATCCAGATAAACGGCATATCAGCTCGTCTTCAAATTGACACGGCATCAGATATCACGTTAGTGTTTAGAGAAACGTATAACTTGCTGGGTAAACCGCCAATGAAACCATCTAAGAAAACGGCTAAAAACGCGTCAGGTGGTGTGCTAAAACTGGTTGGTGAATTACAGTGTGAATTTTCCTTCAATGGAACTAACTGTACAGGAATATGCTACCTAACAGAACGGCCGAACCTTGATCTTCTTGGTCTAGATATGCTAGACAAACTTGGAGTAATGGATGTACCAATTAACAGTGTTTGTAACGTATCGTGTTCATCATTGGACACCCCAGTACTTCCAAAGAAGACAGGTGAAAGGTTACCAGGAAAACTGAAAAGAAAGATACGAACACATTTCGATGTCATCCGTCCTATTATTATTATTATTTATTATTTCAACACATAGATAATGGTACAGAGGCACCAAATACATATGCGCCACACAAATCTCATTCGATATATGTGAGGGCTGTGATACTGCCCGGGTGCCCAAACCGAAGCAGGTGGTTTTCTTAGGGGGCCATACCCCGAGCCTTCGACATGAAGGTCTGATCCACAAGGCAGTGGAGCATCGTAAGGAGATGCAGTCCCATGGAAGCCGGTGACCAACAATTGGTTCATTCGCCATTTGTTCCCGCAGGATACTGGAGCCCATGTGCACCATTGGTTTGTGATCCGGTTAAAGCGCCGGACATTTGCTTTTCGTCCTCTAATTTTCGTAAACAACACCCCCGCCACGAGAAGGCAGTGAGTAGGACTTCCCTGGCAGAGGCTATATACGCGTGGCCGTGTGAGAGTATTTCGAGAGGGAGAGCGGACTCTCCCCACTCTCGGCCGTACCAGGGCTATTGAACCCCAACGACATCATGGGGCACAAAGACGATTGTTCACGGTGGGACAAAAAGTACTTGCTGTGGACTATCGTGGGAAACATCCTACATGGACAGCTGGTCGGATCTTGAAAAACAAGGGGAGTGTGGTTTGCGAGATGTCAGTTGGCTCGGAAGTTTGGGTACGTCATGCTAACCAACTGAAAGCAACTTCGATAGCCAGCAACAAAATTCAATATCGATTACCTCTTGATGTTCTGCTAGACACCTTTGAAATCAAAACGCCGGGACTAGACACGTCAGTTTCTGTGCAAGAAAAGAGTGATAATTCTCTATTGCCTAGACGATGGGCTAATCGAGAGCACAGGCCGGTCACTCGGTTGCAGTTGGACCCTAGCACCAGATCCTACGAATCTGCTCAAATGGGAGGTGTTAGCGGATCATAGACTGGATTAAAGCAAGCTCAATGCGCGATTGCTTTGGTGCACGCTGATTAGCTAATTCTTATCCAATCAGCACTAGTCGATAGTTGGAGAATACTCTAGAATCTTCTCATGTAAAAACTATAAATATACTGACGTTTTCTCTATTGTGCTTTCTACTGGCTTCTTACTGGCATCTTACTTCCATCTAACCTTGTTATTTGGAATATAATCTCTTTCCTGTTCAACCGTGTTCTGATTTGGGGACTTGTCAAGTGAATCCGTGTCCGAGAATACTAAGCAATAGGAATAGCTGGGTCATAACCGTAAGAAGATATTATAACACCTACAGATATCCTCTACTCTTACCAGCCATGTTTCACAGACTTAAAGTAAGACGGAACGAACTGCTGCTTAGTAAACTTATCCTTTGGTTGGTAGACGGATATCTCGCCTACTCCAAAAAATGACGCAACTTGACGAAATCTAGTCAAGCCTTCTGTATCCGTGCTGAGATTTCTTCACACACCAGACAACAAAGACTGATGGGACTCTCAAGATAAGTAAAGTAGTCGACACACTTAACTACTTCACTCCCTATCATTGGTTCGGATGTCGATGCAACCTAAACCTGAAGCAACATTTTGAGGGCGAGAATCGCATCTCGAACATTCATACATAGTTGCTTATGGTGGTCAGAAAACTCTGTATTTCGTCAGCGTCTTCCACCATGTTATCGGCATATTTTAAGTCAACAAGTGAATCTCTCTGTATAAGTTCAACCCTTGGAAATTTAGATGAGAAAAGTGTTATTTCTAAAAGCACGTCAACGACAAAGTTAACAGGTTAGGATAAAGCTCAATAAAACTTACATCGGCTAGCTCTCGAGCAACTTCAAATTGTTTCTCACCCGTAGACTCCGGAGTAACTGAAAGAGCGGCCAAACGTAACTGTAATGCCTCTCTGCTTCGACCAGCTACATGACATAAATCTATAAGACGTTGGCGTAATGATGTATCAGCTCGATTTCTTCGAAGGGCTAAAGTTGTAAAATAATAAGAAAACTCAAAGATGCACTTCATCTCTGCAATAAAAAATATTTTAAAAGTCCTATTGATAAATACAAGTAAACTACTTTCGAACTGATTACGCAAAAATGCATACCCTGTCGTGCATAGTGTATAGCAAGAGGAAAATCCTCAGCTTCTTCAGCCCAGTCCACTAGAGTAAGCCAAGTATTTTTATCGGATGGGTTTCTCTGAGCAGCTTGATATAAAAACTGAAAAAGAATCACAGCCAAAGAAGTGAATCAGTTGGTAGAACAAAAACGTTGCAATCGGTGTGCTCACTAAGAGGAAATTAGTCAGAAACATAATATAGCTGTAAATTTTAGAATAATTTTGTAAATCACAGGCCGGGAAAACAACCAACTCCTCATCCCTATTACTCTTATTTTAAATAAATGTTGAAGATCTCTCAGTAAATTCGTAATCAACAAAGCGTTAATTATTTTTCAACTATAAAATGAACTGTTTAATTCGATTAAACTCACTTCCTTGGCTTTTTCTTGGTTCCCACGACGAAAACTAATTTCGGCCAAAACAATATATGGTTGGGAAGCTTGGGGAGCTAAATACAAGAAAGAATAACACCGCATGCCTTCTAAGTATTTAGTGCCAATAGATGAATGAGATAAAAGTAATAACACCAGAAAACTTTTACGCAATGTATGTCATATTAACTATGAACTGAGAGCATGTAATTTCTTAGTATACAACATTTTACCCAAGAATACGCTTGAAATAGCTAATAAAGGCTATCTGTGAATTCAAGATTTACGACTTAATTAGTAGATGTATCTACCAAATATTGCAAATAAGGACTGTTAAGCTCTTTTTCTCACCAGTTCTATGCATGTACTGTATTGAGAAAGCAGTTATACTTTTTCGAGCCAAAACTGTTTATACAAAAACCTAACGGTGACAAAGATGAGGAACGTCTCCAAATTCTGTTAAAAGGTACGATTGGTTAAAAAAACGATGAGTTCGAACAAAATATTACTTCAACGATTAAAGTTTCGTCTTTCTGATGTCCAGAATTTTCATGCTTATTAGTATTTTGGAAATTTTGATAACCTGGTTATATTTTATCCATACAGGAAAGCTGGTTTTTCCGCTTAGTTAAAGTGTTTTGAGATATTAACATACTCGATATTAACAGTAGAAATCCCGCATCAAGAAATGTACTGAGTCCAAAGCTTATAAGTGATCATTTTGACAGTAACATTCACGTATATTGTCACAGATTCCTTCATACACACCAACCTCACTATCACATATTTCAACCACTAGAAAGCACCAATTAATTACAATCTACTTCTTAAAACTCATAAAATACAAGACTTATTAAGTAAAAATAATAAACTGTATTCTTTTTTACTTAACGGATACTGTATAAACATTAACTAATAAGTTTACCTGTGTCAATGATCTGATAGCAAATACGTTCAGCGTGTTCAAATTCATCATTGTTCAAATGTCTTTCAGCTTCTCCAAGATATTGTGCTAACTCAATTGGTAAGCGAGCACGTTTAGACTATTAAGTTTCATAGAGGTTAAATGTTAGTTTTTCAGAACAGATAAAAGTTACAATAAGTGGTCCTCTTAATTTCAGTTTTTTCTTTCCAACTGTATCAGGGTTTTGTCGTCTTTTAGATCTCCTAGGTCCTAAAAGAAATATTTTTAGAGTAATCTTTTTTTCTGAAAATATCACGTAAGTAAAAATGTCTAGAATGGCAATAATTTGAATCCAAGTTTATCAATAAAAGCAAACTATTCGATGAATATGATTTATTATAGCTGTAGTCTGGTTATAATTCTTTGGAAAAAGCTATTTTATTACCAGCATTCTGAGATGGCGAATTACATTATTGATAGAAGAGTGGATATTACCAGCATTTAGTCACTCATCGCAAAAGTGGTGTTCGCTAAAACAGGAAAAGTTCTAAAATCAAAATGAAATATAATCAAACAAAAGTGGGGACAAATAACCCAGTTAAGGGCAAAAGGTTAATGGAAATAATCATCGACAAGCTTTATTTGTAGAAGTATATGGATGATATTTGTATTATCAGTAATGGTAAATGTGTTTTAAATTATATTTTCCAGACCTTAAACAACCATCCGCCAAGAAATTTACTCCTGGAATGGAAAAAATACTAAACATCAGCTTCCTCAATATTGAAATGATGACAAGACCTGAAGGAATTCTAAGGATACGTTTACATAGGACATTCACTTGATGTCCAACTAACAAACTCTTGAATGTGAATGCCTATTAATAGAAAGAGAAACTGGGTTACAGCATTACCCCATACACATATACATAAATCAGTTGGATTTATGAATCCGACTTCAAATATGAGGTACTAAATCTAGGAAAAATCCTAATTGGGCATGGATATCCACTATTGACCCGAATATAAAGCTCAAACTTCCAAAATTAACAACCACTGCACCAAAAATGGACTTTGATTTCAATATAGACAAAGCTCTTGGTACCTCGAAGAGAATATTTAACTCTCTCAAAAAGACGTTTTTGCATCAACTTTGAGGTTGGTGTTCACCGGTAGGCCTATATTCAATGATAATCTATAGAATAAGCTTTCGCATCCGACCACTTACATGTATATTTATAAACTCACTTGCTTCTGTGTTGCTACACATATCGAGTGTTCAATGGACATTTTACCAAATCAGATTCAAAAAAATTATCCCCGATGGATAAAAAGAGGTAGTAATGGATTAACGAAGACCTCAACTATTTAACATCTTGTGAATACTCATCATTCCACAAAAGCAGACACACTGCTCAAGGTCATTTACACAGTGAGAAAAAAAAACAGATTGAAAGCTGTGAGCTTCCATTTCCTATGGATTGTTGAAGCTTTTTTCAAATGTTTGGAGGAGCCATAACTATGTACCCAGAAGAAACTTACTCAACCTCTTTTACCGTCACAGTCTTTTATTTATTTAAACACATAAACATAGGTACAAGGAGGCACCAAAGAGATACGCACCACATAAATCATTCGAATTGTGTGAGGGCTAGGATACTGCCCGGGTGCATAAACCGAAGCAGGTAACAGTCTTGACCTTTAATTTCCCAGTTATCACCTTTTCGTTTTACACAATATTGAGTCTTGTGCATAGCAGTATCAAAACAGCTTATCGGCTCAGGTTGCAAAACTTATGAATATTAAAATTACAAACAATAAGACGGGTGTTGTTTACGAAATTGATAGGACGGTAGAGATTTGTAGCTCAAGTGGATGATTTTAGTGGAGTTTTGTTCTCTGAGCTGGATGGTTTGATCGTGGAGCTTTCATCGTTCTTCTGAACGATATCATCAGCACAAACTTCAGATATAAGTGAAGTGTTCGAATTTCTCCATATGTGTTTCAAAGCTTGTTCTGTGCACCTCGATGTTGATTGGTTCTTATTGACCTTAAATTTGTCATTGTTTACTTCCTTGTTTTGGTTGTGTCTCCCATTGTTTTGATTTTTGTTCTTATGTTTGTGCATGATTTTTCCGATTGGTTGACAAATTGGATTGATTTCAATATGCTTGTTGATTGCTGATTGACCTGAATGCCAGGCTTCTAAAAATTCTCTGGTGTTTTTGGAATTTCCTCTGTCCAAGATTTCCACATTTTTTCAGTCGAATGAGTGTCCGGAGTTGTACATGTGTATTGATATAAGTGAGGAGTTATCATGCCTTTTGACTGCTAATTGATGTTAATGTAGGCGCAGGTGAAGGGGGCGTCCGCTTTGTCCCATGTGGTGTTTTTCGCAGTTGGCACAATTTATTTTGTAGATGATGTTTGATTTGTTTTCCTTTGTTATTTTATCTTTTGGTATGCATAGGATGGATTGTAGTGATTTTGTCGGTTTGTGTGCTACACCTATTCCGAAGGTTTTCCGCAGTCTTGTTGCGGTTTCTGATATGCCTTTTATGTATGGTAGGGTGATCCTTTTGTTGATTTTTGTACTTGACTTGAGTTCTAATGCTGCGTGCGGTTGGTACTTTTTGATGAAGTTGATTGAGTAGCCGTTCTTTTGGAATACATCCTTCAGCTACTTCTCTGCATTTTTTCGTGCTGCCAACAAATCAAACATCATCTACAAAATAAATTGTGCCAACTGCGAAAAACACCACATGGGACAAAGCGGACGCCCCCTTCACCTGCGCCTACATTAACATCAATTAGCAGTCAAAAGGCATGATAACTCCTCACTTATATCAATACACATGTACAACTCCGGACACTCATTCGACTGAAAAAATGTGGAAATCTTGGACAGAGGAAATTCCAAAAACACCAGAGAATTTTTAGAAGCCTGGCATTCAAGTCAATCAGCAATCAACAAGCATATTGAAATCAATCCAATTTGTCAACCAATCGGAAAAATCATGCACAAACATAAGAACAAAAATCAAAACAATGGGAGACACAACCAAAACAAGGAAGTAAACAATGACAAATTTAAGGTCAATAAGAACCAATCAACATCGAGGTGCACAGAACAAGCTTTGAAACACATATGGAGAAATTCGAACACTTCACTTCTATCTGAAGTTTGTGCTGATGATATCCTTCAGAAGAACGATGAAAGCTCCACGATCAAACCATCCAGCTCAGAGAACAAAACTCCACCGAAATTGATAGGACAAAAAGCAAACGTCCGACGCTTTAACCGGGTAGGTGGATACCGATGGTCCATCTAGGGGAGTTGAAAAGCCTTATTTCCAAACCCATGGTGCGTATGGGCTCCAGTATCCTGAAGAGACAAATGGTGTGTGGACCTATTGTTGGTCACCAGGTACCATGGTACTGCATCTCCTGACGTTGCTCCACTGCCTTATAGATCAGACCTTTAGGCCGAAGGCTATGGGTATGACCACCTAAGGAAACCACATGCTTCGGTTTGGGAACCCGGGTAGTATGATAGACCACTCACAAATCAAGTGACTTGTGTGATGAAAATGTATTCGGTGTCCCTTTGTACTAATATTGGTGTTCAAATAAATAAAAAGAATCTTGTATTTCGAGCACCGTAACTACAAAATGAATTCAGATAGTCTCAATAAACTTCAAGCCACTACTGGGAATTTTTAACAAGGAACTATACAAGCAAAATGGAAAATCTAAATGACTCTTAAAACATAGAAATAATATAAAGGTAGTAATGTAAACAGTTGGTGATGTTGAGAGTTCAATACGAAATGGCTGAGTTAGAACTAGTCGTTTTAGGTCATTGGTCCGTAGGGTAGAAAATTTTCTGCTCCAAATTTTGATTCAGTCAGTACTTAATTGGACAGCCGCGGTCAGTAGCTAAAGACCTTGGGTGATATGACTTAGAATCGGTCACAATGGCACAAATACACTTACTCTTTATCTTCCTCAAGATACTGAATTTCAGTATCCTTTCATATGTCTTCCGACTCTGGGCTTTAAAACAATATTTCCTTTACATATTCTATTGCATTACCAGTGTTACACTACTTCGGTCTTTTTATCTTTTTGTTTTATTTATTTCGCTTAATCATCCCAGTGTTGTGTGGCAGATAAGGTCAACAGACGTCTGTCCCAAGCTCTACGTTCGTATGGACTGGACAATCTATTCTGTTGTTGAGCCAATTAACACAAAGCATTCAATCACCTCTGCATAATAGTTTTACGTTGCTTTAAAATTGACAATTTGCCAAAACAATAATTCTTCATGGTTATAGGATGCACTTATTCTGATATTACGCATCTCGATCATGTATAAGGTCCCGAGGGTGTGTTCAGCTTTGAGACAATTATAGTATTGCTTCATTACTTAATGTCAGACTACATTGTGAATAAGCGGTTTCAAACATGAGAATATCGAAAATGACTGTTAATATATCCTCATGGTTCTTACATATGGTACAATAAGCGTATATTTGTGATAAAATTTAAAAAAAAATCATAAGTAAACTAACGTGTAGAATATTCAGAATCGTCATTTTTGCTAGAACAGTCTGAATCACTACTATGGCAAGAATTATTGTCCAGAGTAGTAGAGTGGTGCATTTCACGCATCAAATCATCAAAACTGATAATCCCATTTAAATATCGCGAATAAAGAGTTTCATCAGTTACGAGACCATTAAGAAACGAAGAGATATATGTTGAGTCATCTGCTTCCGAAGTGTAACCACAACTAGAATCAAATTCCTATCGAGGGAAAATTTAGCTGAACTCTAGACAAAACATACATTTAGATCGATAACTTCGAAGTCTTGAGCCAATTCCAATTCACCACCGATACCCCAATCATCACTATGTTCCGCGTCCATTTAGGATAAAACAATTTACTGTACACAAGAAAAACGCAAAAGTGATATTGATGTGTATAATTTGAATTAAGCATAGCAAGTGATGTTATGACATCATTCTCATTGTAAATATTAAACAAACTGTGGGTAAAGAACGTTATCTCTATCCTACCAACGTTGTGGATATGCACCTGCAGAACGGTGCCCAGCCAGATGATAACTTTAATAGTTGAATTCACGAGTTGATTTAAGTTAGATCACAATTGAAAACCTGGAAGCACTAGACGGTCGTTCTGTTCTAGTATGGGACTGCTCAGCAGTGCTCATCCACGATCCTGTATGTGGAATCTCTAACCTTCGATGTCGCGCACGAGGCTTAAATTTAAGACCACTGAGCCGGCATCTGATGGTGTTAGTGTCTAGCCTCGATCCATGGTCTTGTCCAACCATCCATCGTAGTTGCGTACCCTCGAGAAGTCCCATGCTAGAAAGAAACGGTCGTCTAATGCTTCCATCTTCAATGGTAGTCTAACTAAGATCAAGTCACGAATTCAACAAGTGGCATTACTACAGCCTTCACATTCCCCCATTCAGACGATAATTGGTTGACATTACACGCAAGACCATCCACTACTGTAGGGAGTTAAAAATACAGACACTCATTTGTTGTAGTTGATATACAGACTGCGAATTGTGTCTTAGTTTAGTTACATAGTTTGTCTGGTCACCATGTCAGTAATTTGACGGGCGAAAACACCTCGCCACTAAACGCATAAAAGCTTGAAAGTTAAGTACAATAATTCCATTGATGTGTTGTGGAGGTGCATGAAAGGGAAAGAAGGGTTTTTGTGCATCATGCTGTGGTGCACAAACGTCATTTTGTTAATCCAACGACGGGGGTTCATACAAACAATATTGAAGGCATGCGGTCTAGGCTGAAGTATTTTTTAAGACCCTACCACGGCTCCAGAGGACGATTATATTAGAGCCATATGGACGAGTTCTTATTACCTCAAGCACTATGATTTAAAAACTTCTGAACCTTTATCAAACCTCAACAAGTTCTTAAATCATGTAAAAGAAGAATATCCATTGTAATTCATCAGTTTTTTACAATATATTTTTACATTAAACTAACTCTCTTCTGATTGACTAATGTTCTCAAGTCACTTAAAAATACGTTCAAAGGTCGTCAATAAAATAGAGTTTCACTGGGTTTTTATAATTCCGTTGAGATGGATGTGGTTAAGATGAAAGCTGGAAACAGTCAGGCTCAATATCCTATATTCAGGTCACTGAACAATACCGTTTTATCCTTTTCGAAATAGGCTTGTCTTAACGATAATGAACTAAATAGACACATTTGGATGTGTCACCCTACACGTCCTAGTCGAGTATGTCATGTTTCAGATCTAAGTTCATTTTTAATATTTAATAAAATACAAGTTGTTCTACAGAACGTGTCAGCTATATAAGACTTGAATGCAGACATTATGCAGCTGATGTCTAATTGTGATGGACGTGAACATAATCGAAAACTTGATATTGGACAAGCAGTTTGGTAGTTCCCTTTGTTATCTGAAGAGGGCCAACGGAGGTTGGCTGCATGTCTTCAGCAAGATATGACTATTAATTTGCATACCAGACGGATGGTAATCCTAAAACATCCATGTGCTACATTTTGTCATACGCAATGACACCTGAAGTTGCCAGCCATTTCACCTTACTTGCCACTCCATACAAAAAGGGTCTCAGAAGTGGATTTACAGAAGCATACGAAGAAAAATTTCTTTCTCCTGTCATTGTATGCGCCAAAATCGCCGTTCATATCGTCATCCGTCAACGAAAAAGAACTTACAAAACTATGTTATATCATGATGCAACGGTACTTTCATAAAAAGATTATTTTGATCCCGAACAGTAACGCAGCAGTTTGAAATAAGCGCAACTGTTTTTATGCTCAACTTAATTTTCGACTGAGCTTCATATCATTCGCTCACTTTCGTGTAGACACCTGAAATTACAATTAAAATGCGTAACGATCGTAGCTCGAGTATTTGTCTGTTAATAATCTATTTGTAAACTATAATGTTACCTCTTGACCATAAATTTCGTTAACCGTACATCGTTCTCGAATGAAATCGTGTGCATTCACAGGTTGTCTAATACAAAAAAAGGCAAACATGAGAGACAATTGTGGTCAGTCTAAAGAAAGACGGTTAAGAGAAATTTAGACAGTTTAGCGACATTTTCAATATAGGGAAAAAATGGGTGAACTTTCACATTATTCCATTTGACAGGGAAAACGAAGACTTTGGTGTGTTTTCTTACTCTTTCCGATAATGATCTAGTGGAACGTCTTTTTTAGTGATTGACTGGGTATATTTTAGTATGTTTTTAATCATACATAAAGTCATGGGCCACATCACTTGCATTTCAATAACAATTCCCTAACAACGATTGCTTATGGATAAACTTTAGATTCTCAAAAATTCCATGATATCTATTCGTACCAAAACGCTGAACAAAAATTACGATTCCCATTTTTTGGAGGTAATCAACTCAGGATCTTCGCTTTCCGGATGTATGTTTATCTCGATGCTAACATTCTGCGGGACGACCCCACTATTTCCTAGTAGTCATCTGTTGTTAACTTCCATCGCTCTGGTGTAGTCTATTCTATCGTAACTAAGGTGATGAGCTCCTTTTTCCCTCCAATAACTTATGTTTTTCATCACGTTAAACATGGTTTTACTATTATAATTACTTCCCATTGACGAGCTCCTCAGCTAGGAGTCAATCATGGATTACCACACCACTCTGATTCATGTGTCACAATTTGGCACGGTCGCCATTACCGCATATCAGTAAATACTTCCTGTCACTCTTACTATCATCGCTGTTTCTACTTTTATTCATAAAACCTTGTCTTTCTCACAATGCCGGGATTACCAATTAGTTGGCTTATAAATTCATTCCTGAAACCATTGCCTTCTATTAGCATTTGAGCTATCACTTAATTATTTCAATATTGCAACTAACCAACCTCCTGTTTGGCGACATGATGGCTACTGGTATCCAAAAGCCCTAATACACTGAGACAAACTAATTCACCCAAACCACACGATATGCAAAACCACAAATAACTATCAAAGTGACCAGAATTGGCGCAGTCAAGTGACTGGACTACCATTAAATGGGCATTATAGAATACTTGGAAAGGTACTGAAACAACAGGAAGTTAGTGCGAACAATGCAACCAGTTTATACAATACCACGGCTGAGGTATTGAATATTGGATACCTTGACCACATTTTCGAACTGCGTATGAGTTCTTGCTGTGAGGCAAATTTTACTTCAAAATGACAAACAGAGTTAAATACACCAGGGCATTAAGCACAAGCAGTATACCGGCCTATGCCTTGATACGTAAACTTCATTTTGAACTTTCTCCAGATAAGCCGTAAGTAAACATAAATTATTGGTTTGAATAATTGTTATTCAGAACCGTACTTTCATAGAGTTGTATATGTACTCTGAAAACCGATACCGAAAAGTACAGGCTTATTTATTTATTTAGAAACTCTTTAGCCTTCCAAAGGGTTAAAATCTTATAGTCTACTACTGCTATATGATATATAAAATATGCTGGGATTTTAAGCAGAACTACATCACTTTTGGTTCATTAGGTAAAAAGTCCTTTTAAAATGCGTAATTTTTACGGAGGAACTGCTAACAATAAATAGGTATTGAATATCGTCAATATGTAATCACTGAATAAACCTTACAGGACTCACGGGATATTTAATAACGAGATAAAAATGTCATGTCTAAAAAACATACCTTTTCATAAACCATATGAATGATTCAACTTCGTCTGAAGTTTACTTTGTAAAGCGTTGATGAGAAAATCGTAAAGGTTAATGGGGATAGCATGTGTGACTCCCAAAACTCTACTTCTTCAGATAATGCATGATAAATAACACAGCCTCTGACAGTATGTTTGACAGGAATAATTAATTCATGGTAGAACGATCAATTGACAGTACGTTATGTAAACAAAAGAATTAACAGTACCAAAGCTATGTGTTCCTTGTTGTTCTGCTTTGTTCTATTATGGTTTCATGTATTTTAGGAAGTTATTAGCATGTTATCTCAATAATATTTTAGCCATATTCTAGTTTTACTTATTTAGGGTTGAGACTCACATTTAATTTAAAAACTGCAAGTTTTGATTACATCAGTTTTACTCCAGATGCTATGAAATGATGTAAAGAATGCTTTTCAGCTGCTTCCTTAAAGACATAGCCCATAATATCAGTAAATCAAAAATGCTTTATAACCATTTGTGGTTAGCCTCGGTGAAAGTTTGTTCCCCTTTATTCATGAACGATTGATTAGAACGATATTCGATCTTCAGTTTTTAGGATGGCATGTGGATTGACCGGTATTGATTCTTCCAACTTGTTTTTCAGTGAAGATCCCGTTTTTCCTCGCTCGTGTTTGTTGATGGGTCCAGTATTACTTACTCAAATAAAGTGTTTGATTTCCCGAGAAAAAGTGACTCGAAAACGTTAAACTTTCCACCAACAAAAGTACACAAAACTTCAATCAAACATATATATTTCTTAAAAAGTTATTTTTTTTGTTCCGTATTCACCCACAAACTATTCAAATTGAAGTTGTTCGCATAATAAGTAAAAATCGTCTTTTATTTATGCTTGTTTTGTCGAAGTGAAAACTAAAATTTAGTTTATACTCATTGATAAAGCATAATAATTATGTGAACTTTAATATCAATGAATATCAGAATACTTGTATTTCCTATATCTATTGCTTTAGAATATTTTCGTCTGAAATTCCAAAGATTTAAATTGCATATTTAATCTGATATACAATTTTTGCGTGATTTATAGTTTTTGATACCTTGAACGGCAGAAAAATACTTACGACTGTTAAATTAGTTTCATATAACTACCTAAAAACGCAAAACTGCAACGTCAATTACAGGGACGGTTAATACTGCGCATCGGAAATTCTTACAAAATGGCTGTGCCCTAAAGACAGAGATATCGCTAAATTGAACTGACAAAAGGCAACAGAACCCAGTTCATTATGAGTTGTGTTCCTGGATCAGCACTAAGAGTAGACCAAATATTAGGTACATTCTGAAACCGGAATATAATTCCATCCCACTGACCACAGCACAGTATTGCTACTGTTTATAAGAAGGGACAGAGGTCGTTTAGCAATTAATGCAAATCAATTTCATAAATTGTAGTAATGAGATTCGGTGTGGCTAGTAGTACTGTATATATAGATATGGAAGTATTTACAAGAAATATTCTAAGTTAGTATAAACACTACAGATAATGAGCTTAAAATCTGTATATATATAGTTCATAGTTACACAACCAAAGTTGTGAGAAATAAGAAACCGGGGAGTTTTTAGGCAAACTTTTAATAAGATGACTAATTTCCTATCCCTCGAAATATTTTGGAACTCACACATACATACAGACTCTAGATAAAAAATAAATTCTTAAACTTAATGATAAAACAAAATTACTGATCAAGGTCCCCTATCGCAGTGCTTATTGTATTAACGCTTGCAAAAGAAGAGCATCACCTTAATAAAAGTTTCTTACTCAACCACCATCTGTCACGCAAGAGCTCATTACAAGCTATTGTGTTAAAAGACGTCAAAAAGTGGTTGTCGAGGTTTTCATCATCCCCATCGTTCTTTACATTTGCCACAAATATTTACGTTCAACACAGATTAATCTTCCACACCAAATATTGTAGTATCCGGAAAATCAAACAACAGGTATATATAGTTCTCCGAAATAAATTTTCTTGCTTTGTCACTCAGTGTAACACTTGGTTGTCTTATGACAGCTTATTCTGAATAAATCGATTCTCGGAAAAACCGAAATCTCACCAATATTCGGCGATTATGACTCGGTTGTCGATACATTTTAAAACGGTTTTAGAGGTTCCCTTTGATAAACTTATTACAGCTTCTAGCCACAACAGATGTTTTTACTGTATTTGCACCTTGCCAAAAAATAAGCAAACCTTAGTTTGGATTGTATGTCATATCTTAATGTTGTTATTTTTAGTCTGATTGAAACATCAAAGAACAGTGCCACTTATTAGTGAAAATTTCAGAGGTTTTTTATTGGTCGTAGTAAAACAGAATTAACTTCACGATAATTTACAAAATAATGTTCGTATCATATCTTTGACTATTTAATTTATTAAAGAAATAAAATGACACAAGTCAGCTAAATAGGAGAGGTATATACTAGGTTGATACGTGTAGACAGCATTATAGTTACTTCTCGTCCGTTTTTGTAACTTACATGCCATTTTCAAAAAAATTCTTCTGTATTAGTACATGAATATTTGTTTAATGTTACAATTCAGTTTTGCATTACTGAGTAGTCAATATAGGGGGATTTTATGAACAAACGTGAACATCTTAAAAATATATATTTGTTTTTTCAATGCTTTTACGATTTATATCCAAATTTAAATCGAATTAGTTATTTCATATGTCAGTTTTAGCTGTATGCAATAGCTAGTACCTAAATATTCTCAACAATAGATTTTCTTATTAATCATGTTAGGCAGATAAAGTACGAATTGGAAAGGTGATGCAAATTTCAGTCAATATATAACAGTTATGGATCATTCATCTTTATGTTAAGTTCTTGTATTCGATTACATTATTACAATTGGTGCCAAATTAAGGACTAGTTTAAGACATCGTTGATAAGTGCTTTTACAAAGCCTTCACGAATTCTTTAACTGAATAAACAAGGGGAATGTCAACAACAACCAGTGAGTAAACAACATATCGAAGTACTTCTTGAAAACATGAGCTAACTTGTTTCAAGTTTTGTAAGTATCGGTCAATGGACCTGTATTTTCTGATACAGAT